ATAAGAGTGAAGCTGCTGCAAATGCGAAAGTGATAGTGGGGAACATTAACATATCAGAGGTGGAAGACGCAGCCTACCTTCGGATATATTACGGTCAGACCTTCAAAGTCATCAAGAATGGCTTTGATGGCAACAGTTATCTTCTTATTCAGGTAATAATAAAACTATTTTATGTTTTACACCAACTCTCAATCCTGTGTGTTTTATACAAATTTCCATCTAAGGATGTCTAATCGTTAGTCTAGCCGGGTCGGGTCGGGTCGGGTCGGGTCGGGTCGGGTCGGGTCGAGTTGTTAAACTTTATTAACGAAAATTCGTACTTATGTAATGAAATATTATAATTATTTTTTTAAAGTTATTTCGGAAACACGACTGTCCTATCACGGGATGATTCCGTTGGTGTTATTGGCCGTTAGATATAATGTGGGAAAGAAAATCCATGGTTAAGGCAGGCATTTTTAATTGTTATATTATTAAGTAGACTATAAAACACTAAATAATTATATCTAAATATTTATTCTAAAAATAATATAGATTTTTTTTTTTATAGTCATTCTATTATCAAACCTAGTTAATAAATTGTTAGTTAAATTATATTGTATTTAATAGTAAAATTATTTATTTATTTGTTTACACATGAAATGGTCGGGTCGGGTTGGGACCTGGTAAAACCCAATTTTAAAAATTCAAGTTACCCATTTACTCGACGAAGACCTGATAACTTGTCGGGTAAAACCCAACCTAAACCCAAAGTTTACTAACTGGATAACGGATCAGGTATGGGAAGGGTAAATTATATGCGAGTCGATTCGGGTTAATCAAAACCTGATCTGACCTATTTACATCCTTATATTTAATGAAATATATATCTATATATTCGCAATCACATTACTATTCCCGTAGCACAAATTGTGTTCAAGGTTTATAATTCAATTGAACTCATAATTATTGGTCAAGACTCGAGTGCATTTCTCTTACTGTCAAAATTAGTCATTTCAGATTCTGATTTGAAACTCTGTTAATTGCAATTGGGCAGGTGGCCACGGGCCAACCCGGCCTGCCGAACTGGTCCGGCACCTCTTAAGGGTCGGTATTTATTCAGTTTTGACCTGCCGGGCCGAGCCGGATTCGGGTCGGTTCCGGGTTTTTCAACGGTCCATAGTTGCTTTTTTATTTTTAAAAACCGTCCGGCCGGGCCAGTTACGGGCCCAACATTTGAGGCCTGTTGACCTAGCGGGCCGGGCCGGGCGAGACCGTGACCCGGCAGTTGGCCACGTCTACTAATTGGCTTTAATATTTGTATAATCAAATGTTTGTGCAGAATAACTCGAAGATGGCAGCCAAAACAAAATACTGCACTTCAAGGATTAAATCATTCCTCATTCCTTTAGCCAACTATTCAATTGACTCTGATTATTTTCCAGGTAAAATTTCCAACTTTAAATAATAATAATAATAATAATAATAATAATAATAATAATAATAATAATAATAATAATAATTAAATTAACATTAACTTGTTACAAATTTTAATATTCCATTTTTTATTTCTTCTGAATTTTGCAGTTTCATTCTTTGAGGTGAGTGCTAATAGTTTCAGTAAGTAAAACATCTCCTCTCATTCACATTACACACATACATTAGTGTTTGTGTAATTTGCTGCTTTTTTTTTACGACGAAAAGCTACTCGGATTGCTCGGGAGTTTGAAGGGTATGACCTCAGAGTATGTGGCTTCACAATGTGTCCTCAAACTGTACACTGAAGGACAAATACAGTTGATCAACAAAACCGAGCCGCAACAGCTCACTCGATTTTCTGCTCATTTTATTGTGAATACTGACCAGCCACAGTCCTGCAATTTCGCCACATTTCTCCCGATTGGCGAGGAGGCTCCTCTTCAGGTACTTGTATAAAAAAACGGCCACGAAACAAAAGAATGCGTAAAGTATCGATTTTTTTTTTTTTTGGTAACCCGTTTTGAATAATTCTTGAATTTTCTTTCGTAGCGAGCCGAGTGGATAAAGTTCCTCGGAGTTTTTGCAAATCTTGAAACGAGAGCGAATCAAGTCTACAGTGCAGTAAGTTGAAAGTGAAAATTTTAGAATTTATTCGACTTGTTAAGGAAATAAGTTAAAATACTATATTTTGATTATGTTCTTGCAGATTAAGCAGAACTACATGTGCCTTAGTAAAGCCGCAACTAACAAGAAAGCATCGTTCAAGCCGATAGTAGCTTGGATGGCTTATAATGATGTATGAACCGTCATTAGTAGTTTCATGTTATTTACTCAAAGTTTCGAAAAAAATAAAAATAAATAAATCATCTTTGGAGTCGAATTATATCCGTTCCCATGATACAGGGCGTCTGGTCTTTCACGAAAGAGCCATACAAGTTAAAGGTATTTCTTTAACAAATATTATATGATCTTCGACATTTTTAATATCGATGTTTAATATCGTTAAATTAAACAGTATGTCGAGGATTCGGGTGGGGAAAATATAGACAACTCGATCAACAAAGTCACGTATAACATCTCTGTACCGGATGACTTGGATGCATTTCATGCCATTCTATGTGTAAGACTATTATTGCATTCATATTCACACTTCATTATCAGCTTGTAAGCTGATCTTTTTTTCTTTTATTTTTTAGACTGTTGATGTGGTGATTGACGAGACATATATGCCCGACCCAACTGCCTATAATGCGTCGACCTTCCTTCAATACTTGAATTTGGAAGATCAATCTTGCTTTGCTTTCATGGCAAAGCAAAGCTTGTGGAGATATGACAAAAGAATTTCAAATTCTAACATTCTTGGTAACTTTTATCACTAAAGTCTTGTTAATTTTTTCTTGTTTTCTTGTTTTACTTTCTCTGTTTTTGGTTCTTTTTGTAACATTACTATCTCTTCTTGTGCACAATAAAGATTGGTACGATGGAGCAGTTTCTCAGCCTCATTTGGTTCTCGCGGATCTTATCGAAGCTTTGTTTCCATCCGGAAATTACAAGACGACATATTTAAGAAATATTGCAAAGGTACATTGCTCGTTTTTACTCAAAAATCGTGCCACGAAGATATTTTGTAGCGTTATATGACTAGCTTTCGACTCACATATCGTTCCAGGGAGAAGGAGTTGAGAGCATCGGACCTGAAATGTGTGAAAGGGACGGCTCAGTTCCGATGGAGCCGTTGACTGTCGCTTGCCAATAGAAATAATGAGAAAATTTGAGATTATTTTTCGGTATTTTCAGCTAATAGATGCCATCACTATTCTTAACATCTTTATTGTTATAAAGAAATCAAGAACTCCAAGATTTTACAATCCATGACTTGTTAATTTTATCAATGTTTTCTTATAAATTTCCTGCAAATGCTTTCTATTCCAAAAGTCAAAGAAGCTATAGAAGGCTTTTTGCCACTTTAGAAGCATTATTGCACAATCATTTGATTATATTTTGGTGGTACTTATCAAGACACTATACAAGCTAGTGGTTATGTGACTTGAATTTCCACATAGGTACTATAAGAGGAAATAAATGAATGAGATACCAAAACCATAACCCTTTGTTTTTTTTTTTTTTTCGTGATAGAACAAAACTATAATCCTTCATTAGTGCCAATTTATGTTCACCCTGCACACTTTCCTTTTTTTTCTTGATAAAGCGTGTTTTTATAAATATATATCCACCCAAAAATGCAGCAGTGTTAAAACTCTTGAGGGAGAGCTTTGCCGCTTTTGTGGTCCTATCCGGTAGAGCTGTAAACGAACCGAGCGTTCGCGAACAAAAGCTCGTTCGAGCTCGTTCGTGTTCGACAAAAGCTCGTTCGTTTATTAATCGAGTCGAGTTCGAACAGAAAATTAGGCTCGTTTAATAATCGAACGAACACGAGCTCGTTCGTGAACGTTCGATTATGTTCGCGAACACTAATTTAATATAATTTTATTTTATTTTATATATATTTATATAATATTTTTAATAAAAAATCTAAAATTTAATATAAATTTATTTATTTTTTATATATTTACATAATATTTTTAATAAAAAATATAAAATATAAAAATATTTTTATTTTGTTCTTTTATTTTCGAGTTCGAACGAGCTCGAACGAACAAATTTTGAGTTAATTAAACATATTTACAAAGTTTATGCATTAAATTATTCGAACACGAACGAACTCGAACTTTTACGAACAATTAAACGAACGAACTCGAACACGATTTTTTGCTCGAAAAATAAACGAACGAACACGAACACTGTTCGAACGTAAACGAACACGAGCTCGAACAGCCCAAGCTCGGTTCGGTTCGGTTCGTTTACAGCACTACTATCCGGCTCCATTCCGGATTAGTCGGTTCTCCCGTGGATCCAGAAACCGGAAGGTCCCTGTACCAAAAAAAAAAAAGAGTTAATTTTTTTTTTNNAAAAAAAATGGTATGGTTAATTGTTAGTGCGATTTTGATTTTATATAAAAATAATATTTAAAATAAAATAATTAAAGTTAATTTGATGTAAAAGTAGGAGAGAGAAGATATGAAGTGATAATTATTTAAAATTGTGTGAGTGAATGAATAGTAAATTAAAGTTGATGTGATTTTGAGAGATGATTGGTTGATATTATTTAGTTATATTGATAGTATTGAAAATAGTGAAGTTGAGTTAAAATTAAGTTAGATTTTGAGTACAAACATAGTATGGATTGAGATATTTAAACATAGTATGGATTGAGATATCATATAAAAACACACTACATGCTTATCAGTAATGCTCCCCTACCTACGGTGGCCACATGTTAATATGTTCACCGCTTATGTGGCATGCACACATTGGTGATGTATTTTTTTGAACATATTAACATCACCAATGTGTGGATGTCACATAAACAGTGTGCATATTAACATGTGTCCACCGTGGATAAGGGAGCATCTGTGACATGCTTATACAAAGCAGTTTATATGTATAAATTATGATGTGGCATCATAAGATGGTCCAGTTCAATGTTGTCTTATTATGGGCTCATCAATATTAAATAATTAAATTAGCTTGAAGTTTGACTAAAATTTCTAGAATATTTCAGCGTAATTGGTTGATATCTAATTTATTACTTTTTTATAGAAGAGTATCTTTTTTTGTTGAAACATTGTCGTGGCAAGTCTTCAATCTCTTATCATTCCTGATTGTTATTTAATTTGAACATCGGAGTGTCTAGACCGAGAGTCAGCCTCCCATGGTGCTATTTTACATGTTGATCCGGTTCGTGGTTCGAAACGTTTGGGAAGAGGCGGTTCAATCGAAAATCTTCGTGGCCCATATTTCGTATCAAATTGTGTGAATAATCTTAAAATTCCTTTAAAGAAGTACTACCTCCTTTTTTAAATAAATGTCGTTTTGACTTTTTTGATTCATCCATTTTGCTATGTATCTAGACATATTAATGTCTAGATACATAGTAAAATGGATGAATCAAAAAAGTCAAAACGACATTTATTTAAAAAAGGAGGGAGTATCATTTTCGATAATAATGCACCAATACCTAAGGAGAGGTCGAAAAGTCGGTACCACGTGGAAAAATACGTAAAGTACATTGAAAACGGGTTGTAGCTATGAAGGTTCACTGACTTTTTGAGATGGAGTAAGTCCCAGAAAAGGATGAAATGACTCGGTTACCTGGAAGGATTGCTTGGTTATGCTTGGTTACATCTTATATGCGACACATACATGCAGCACCCAAAAAGTTTGAGATTGACACCCAACTCATTTGCCCCAAAAACATAAGCCCTGACTTTGAAATATCTTACCATTGCAGCACCCAAAAGCAAGCAATTGTGACTTCTGCTGTCGGGACCGATGAAATTTAGACCGTCGGTTGCATTCGACGATCCTCCCCCAAACTATGGTAAGTTAGGTTGTCACTTGTATTATTCCCATAGTTATGTTATTTTCGAATAATCTGAGTTATTTATTGGGTTTATAGAAGTAGGGTTACGAATACGAGTAGTAATGGCATGTGGTCATTGTGATTGATGATCAATGTAAACATTCGGTGAGAAAAGCTTTTCCCTTAGTAATTTTTTTTTTTTTTTACTTGTCCGTGGATAATGAAGTTCTATATTCGATTCTTGAATATACAAAAACTTCTCGCATATGATAAATTATGCGGAGAATTTAGATATGCGAGTCATAAACTACGTGAAAACATGTCGAATAACATAAAGTTTAAGATGTTGAATTTGGATATTCGATTCTTGAATATACGAGCACTTCTGGCATATGGTAAATTATGCAGTGGATTTGGATATGAGAGTCGTAAACTATACGTAAACTTGTTGCATAACATAAAATATGCGACGTTAGATTTGGATATTCGATTCTTCAATATATGAAAACTTCTCGCATATGGTAAATTATGCGGTGGATTTGGATATACGACTCATAAACTATGCGAAAATGCCGCATAACATAAATATCCGACATTGCATTTGAATACGTTATGCGTAACGCATACTTGTTTACTATAAGTCCGATTTGGATATGCGAGATATAACTTATATGAGAACTTGTCGCATAATTGTAAAATATGCGGCTAGCAATCTGGATATGCGATAAATATAAACAAAATAAATTCGCATAACAAAAAAAAATACGACACATTTAAATATATATTATTTTGTGTACACAAAATTTAATATAATTGTTAATTATGAACCAATATGTAAATGAAAGTGCTTAGATGGATCATAAAACAAATTCGTCTTCGCCCTATATATAAATTACATCGCGACAAGTGTTGGTGGAACTGAATAATAGTAGTGCAGTAGCTATAGTGACGGGACTAAGGATAACCTTGGTCTCGGTGGAAACATTATTGTCCCGCCCGTCCCCTTCACGCGGAAAAAGCAAAATACACGCTCATCACCGGCCCATACCACTACCACTACCACGCCACCCAGATTCATCCGCCATGGCAACCAAACCACAAACCTCCAAATGCTCGCGCGCACACACACACACACTTTTCATCTCACATTCACACACTTGAAACAATGAACCCGTGACACAGATAGCTTTCCATTTCCACCCGTGATTTCACTTTCCCCAAACCCACACACAACCCTACAAAAAAATTAGCTCACTAAATCAAGATTCTTTCGATTCTAATCATTCTCCGATTGATTGAGACATTCCTATCTCTATATAAAGGAAAATTCCATTAATCTCACAATGCAGCACCGAAAACCCAATAAATCTCCACACCCACCCCTCCCATTCTCTTCACCCACCGGCAGCAATCCCAAACAGTTTCAGAGATTGAAGTCCATTTTCATCTCCATGGCCTCCCTCACCCTCCTCTCCCTCCTCGTATTCTTCGCCGCCGCCTCCGCCGCGCGCCGCCACAATCCCCCTTACTCCGAAAACCCCCCCAATTCCGGCCACAACATCGTCGCCGAGGTTTGCAGGGCCTCGCGCGACTCCGCCAGATGTCAGGCCACGCTGTCGCAGCCCGGCTACACGCCGCCGGACGCCTCCGTCCAGCAGGCGATCCAGTCCGCCCTCTGGGTCATCTCCCAGAACCTGAATTTGGGTCGGGGGATGGTCCGCGACATCCTGGACGCGTCCTCTGGGAATCTCAACCGCTCGAACGCCGCTAAAAACTGCCTGGAGCTGCTGCGCTACTCGGAGTACAGGCTGAATTTGACGGGGGAAGCCCTGCCGCGTGGCGACCTCAAGGACGCGCGCGCGTGGCTGAGCGCGGCCCTGGTTTACCAATACGATTCCTGGTCCGCCCTCAAGTACGTGAACGACACGGCCCAGGTGGGCCTGACCATGGCCTTCTTGGACTCGGCCCTGATCGGCACCACCAGTGATGCATTGGCCATGATTGTGAACTATGATGTTTTTGGGGACAAGATTGGTTCGTGGGGCCCAGTCAAGACCGAGCGGGACGGGTTCTGGGAGCCCGTGTCCGGATCAAGCTCATCCTCAGGGCCCGGGTTAGTGCCAACAGGCCTGCAGCCAAACGTGACAGTGTGCAAGGAGGGTAGCGGTTGTGATTTCGGGACGATTCAAGAGGCTGTCAATGCTGGCCCGGACAATGCTGAAAACGGCAAGAGATTCGTGATACAGATCAAGGCCGGTGTTTACGAGGAGATAGTGAGGGTGCCACTGGAGAAAAAGAATGTGGTGATGTTGGGTGATGGGATAGGCAAAACGATCATTACTGGGTCCATGAATGTCGGGCAGCAGGGCGTGACCACCTACAATTCGGCCACTGTGGGTAAGTTGGCTGGTCTTTTGGTTTCGTTGTTTACTTCTTTCATGTTGCCACTTTTTTAGCTGCTTCTGGATTTGCTGATGGGATTAGTTACTATTGTTGGAGGAGTTGTAACTCTGAAGTTCTATTATTTTGATGGTAAATGCATACTTGTTTGAAGTGCCTGAACTGTTTAGTATCCGATCACTCAACTCATGGTCATGGGACTATATGACATTTGATCCGTAGCTACTGTTTATCGGTTATAGATAGATCCAATTGATCTCTTTCATTTACTGTTTGAGCATTACTATGTATATGATGATGTGCTTCCATCCTGTTTCTTTCAGTATTTATCTGTCAGCAACTGTTTCTTCGATCAATAGTACCACTGAATCTCAGTCTCACATTATTGCTCGAGTTTCCACTGAAAGTTCTATTCTAAGTTTTAACTCATTTTCGTTTTCGTTTTTCTATTCCTGCAAAATCCAGCTGTGGTTGGGGACAGGTTCATGGCCAGCGGCCTCACGATCCAAAACACAGCGGGACCCGATGCGCACCAGGCGGTGGCCTTCCGCTCGGACAGCGATTTTTCCATCATACAAGATTGCGAGTTCCTTGGCAACCAAGACACCCTTTACGCCCACAGCCTTCGCCAGTACTACCGCTCGTGCCGCATCCAAGGCAACGTCGACTTCATCTTCGGCAACTCGGCCTCGTTTTTCCAGGACTGCCAAGTCTTCGTGGCCCCACGTCAGCAGAATCCCGAAAAGGGCGAGAAAAACGCGGTCACCGCTCACGGAAGGATAGACCCGGGCCAGTCGACGGGCTTTGTGTTCCAAAATTGCGTGATTAATGGCACGGAAGAGTATATGGGTTTGTATCATAAGAAGCCTAGCGCGCACAGGAATTTCTTGGGTCGGCCGTGGAAGGAGTATTCGAGGACAGTTTTCATCGGTTGTGTGTTGGAAGCTCTGATTGCGCCCGAAGGGTGGATGCCGTGGAGTGGAGATTTTGCGTTGAGCACTTTGTATTATGGGGAATTGGGGAATACGGGAACCGGGTCGAATGTCTCGGGCCGGGTGAGTTGGAGCAGCCGTATCCCGGCTGAGCATGTTGCGTCGTATTCTGTTGGGAATTTCATTCAGGGGGACCGGTGGTTTAGTCCGGCGTCCATGGCAATGGCATGATAATTTTTATTTTTTTTTCGGAATTTTGAAACTTTTTTTTTTCTATAAAGCCAGAGTGGTTAATGCTGCTAACTACTCACAACAGCAATTAATAATTAATAAATGTTAAAAGTAAATATATATTTATGCTGACAGAGGGAAAAAAGCTTCTAAACTTGAAAGAAATTTACTTATACGAGAGATAATGCAACAATTAACATAAATCAACGATGCTAACGTTGTCAACTGTCAATATAATACCACATTTCTGTTAGCAATAAAACTCGCAACAAGCTGGTTAAATTTCTAATTTTTTTGGTAAGTAAGAAAGACTTACTTTTTTTTTTTTTTTTT